TAGGACTGTATGACAAAAGAAATAAGGTTTTGCAAAGAGTTCACAATTGGAACGTGTTAACAGTTTACTTTGTTATATTTCATATGCAAATAGAAACATTGATTCAATGATACTTTATTATATTGTGCAAATGAACACGTTAACAGTAGATACTTCTCTATCATATTTATCAATTTTGTAATCACTCAAAATCGTTTGAAGCTATAATGAATACAATAGTATGGGATGTGTTACCATCGCAAGTATACGTTGCATACCTATATAGAATGTATAGATCGAGGTCTATAGACTTTATAGTAGACAGATGTGATTTACCCCAAGCCATAGCCCAACTATTAATCAATTGGCTTGGAAATTATCATTTGACGATGTGTTCTCATCACGCTTATACCACCACAAACACGTTTAGTGTTGACACATGTGCATAGGTTGCAGTACAACTATGTTCTTCACTTTGGATTACTTCTAGCAGATCTAATAGGCTTTCTCAGAAGGAAAATTCTTTTTTTTTTTATATTTGTTTTTAATTTAGAAATAAGAGGTACTCAATAATGCAAATCAATAATTTGCACGTTCAAATTTCACTTCATCTAATTTAATCTAAATAAGTTAGTAGCCTTCAAACACACACGTAATATGTGAACTCTTAAGCTGAGTATGTAAAATCGTCTTTTAGTATTTCTCGACCTTAAGGCAGCATTCGACTCTGTTGATCGTAAGGTTCTATGGCAGTGTTCGACACTGAAAAAAGTACCAAGGAATTACATTAACCTTGGTCGAGTGAGAGCTTATGGCGAACTGTCATCAGAATTGATTACCTCAAGTGGTGTTCTTCAGAGCTGTCCACTCTCTCCATTCTTGTTTAACTTTGTCGTTGACGCGCTTTTAAAGATAACACTTTACTCATCTAAATTTCCAGGAGTTGAACTTCTACCAGGAGATTCACTTGTTGACTTAGAATATGCCGATGATATGGTTCTATTTAGTGAAGACGCTGACAAAATGCAGAGTCTTCTAACCACTCCAAGCAACAATGCAAGCATGTTCGGCATGCGGTTCTTCCCCTCGAAATCCAAAACGTTGCTTCTGGATCGGGTTGCTTCGACACCTGAACTAATAGGGAGTGAAATAGTTCAGCGTGGCGACCGCTTCACTTATCTCGGTAGTCTCATGAGCCTTTGTAGTCTGGTGTGTGACGAAATCTCAGCAGGGATACAGATGACTCGACTAGCTTTTACCAACTTGCGTCATTTATGCCGTAGGAGAGATATCCGTCTATTAACCAAAGGACATGTTTACTGCGCAGCAGTTCGTTCCATCCTACTTTATGGCAGTGAAACATGACCGGTAAGAGTAGAGGATATCCGTAGGTTACTAGTATTCGATCATAGGTGTCTTCGAAATATTGCTCGTATATCCTGGGACCACCGAGTAAGTAACGCAGCTGTTAGGAAACGGGTACTAGGTAAGGATGGCAAATCAATTGATGACGTAGTGAAACTTGATCAGTTGAGATGGCTGGGACACGTGTTACGTATGCCCAACGACCGACTACCTCGACGTGCTATGTTCAGTGGTATAAGAGTAGGTTGGAAGAAAGCTAGGGGCGGCCAGACCAAAACATGGCACAAATCCATGATGTCACTGACAAGTGGACTGAGTCATGTTGGTAGGTGTAGACTACCTGGGTGGGGACCATGAGATGATAGCAACCGATGGTTAGAGACCTTTAATAACATTGGATCAAAATCGTTTGCAATGGCGCAAGTGCATCCACTCTTTGTGTTCTTCCAAATTCTAATCTCCTGAATCCTCCTTGTCTCTTTTTTTGTCTTTCCAAATTTATTTCACTGTATTATACTCCTTGAATAACATCTTCAAACCCTAATTTTTCCGATTACTGTTTATACTCTTACCGCCTCTACCACTACGGGATTCGGATGGACAACTGCATCTCTGTGCTAATGTGGTATGGTAACTCGAACTGATGTTCGTGCATACGAAGTTCTACGTTGTTACTGACTGACTGAAAATCGTCTTTGATAAATAAATTGTCATTGAAGACAACTCTATGTAGTTTCATATCACTTAACGATTAATTTGTAGCGTTATCTTCTCACCGTTACATCTGTAGCCGTAAATATCAAGATGAACAGTATATTGACTATGTTATTCATCTTGGAAATTGTGTTAATCTTAATCAAATCAGTAGTTGATAACATCTCATAATCCATTCAATGAAAGTAACTATCGTTTGCGCACTTAATCCTTTTTTAGTGTAGGCTATATATATCCAGCTGTTCAGTAGTTCACTCTATATTGTAGGGCTGTTGTTTACGAAACTGAGAGGACGAAAAGCGAATGTCCGGCTCTTTAACCGGATCCCAAACCAATGATGCTCATGGGCTCCAGGATCCTGATGGAACAAATGGTGTATGAACCAATCGTTGGTCACCAGCTACCATAGGGCTGCATCTCCTCACGATGCTCCACTGCCTTTTGGGTCAGACCTTTAGGTCGAAGGCTCCGGGTGTGGCCCCCTAAGAAAACCACCTGTTTCGGTCTGGGCACCCGGGTAGTATCCCAGCCCTCACATAAATCGAATGATTTGTGGCGCATATCTATTTAGTGCCTCCTTGTACCAATGTTTATGTGTTTAAATAATAATAAATATTGCTTTGTGAGCGTGAAACTTGTAGTATAAAGGTGAAATATATTTTCAACTATTCGATCATAGAGTACTGGATAAAAGTACCGGTTCCTTTGTTGACATTGAATTTTGATTGATTTAGGTGTCTGAAACAAATCTTATTCAGTTCATGTTCAATTACCACTTATCACAAGATGCAGTTATGTCTGGTGTTTCAGTAGGCTGGATAAAAATGACTTCACATGATGAGTATAACCCACCAAACCATTGATTGTCCGTCTAAGTTGTGTTGGTAGCACATACTACTCAAACGAAATCAAAGCAATAACCATGACATAACTCCTCATTTCGTTCCCGTGTAGTAATTTGAACCAGTATACCTTCATGTCAGATCCTACATTAATGATTACTGACTAGATTTTTCAATTATTCACATCTCACTTATTGAAACCTTTTTTATAATGGTATAGGGGATTATAGAAGTTGTTCAATTTCATTATTTTAAAACACTAACCAACTTCAATTAGTAAACCAGAAAGTTATAATCAACAGATATCCGTTATGTTGAATATGAGCAAATATCATTAATGTTAGTTAAAACTATAAATAGGCTATATGATATCAACTTACTAGTCTAACGGTTACGTACCAACTCAATAGCGTGATAGTTCTAGATTCAATCCACTATAGGATCGTAGATGATGTACACTGTTGAAGAATCCTACTATACTAGGAAGAAACATCTGTTCTCGATTTTCATTGATTATCTAACTAAAGCTAATTTGGAATGTAAAATTCATGATATATTACAAAGAGATATGCACACCTTTTGTTATATCTCGATGCGAATAATGAATGGTAACATTTGGGATGCATTCATGGACCAATACTATACGTATATGTTTATCGTATAATTGTTATATAACTAAACTATTCATATTCGTGTTGGTCGCAGGACAGGTAACGGGGACCATCTACTGCAACTTTGCACAGACCAAAACCTGTTTCTGGCTAGCACTAACTTTCGGCACAGATACCGCCGATGTGTCACCTGGCGTCCTCCCTCTGCATCTCAAGCCTGGACTCAGATTGATCACATCGCGATCAGCTACCGCTGGCGTGGTTGTGTACAAAACTGCCACTCCTTTTGGAGTACCTATCTGGACTCTGACCATGCTTTGGTCTCCGCCAATCTCACCTTACTTTTCAGTGGACAACGAAGTGACCGCCACCAACGGATTGATGTCAGCAAGCTGGTTGCAACTTCTGATGCAAGTAAGTATCGAACCGAGCTAGCTACCATTCCACCAAAAAGTATGGATGAGCATTGGTTGCAATTGCATGACGCCATGAAAGTGGCGGGTACAGTCAGTTGTGGGTTCGCGAAACGTCCCGCTTATAAGCACTGGGTTTCTTCAGGCTCCTTACAACTCATTGAAGCCCGTCGGTCTACTCCGGGTGACCGTGAGTTTGACCATAAACGAAGGATGTTACGCAATAGAATTGGGCGAAGCTCTCGTAAGGACCGAGAAGCCTGGTGGTCGATGCGTGCTAATGAGCTGGAAGCAGCAGCAGCATCTGGTAACTACCGGAAGCTATTCCAACTCATCCGAGCCACTGGCAGCAAGAAGTCTGGTGTGAGCGAAACAATCTGCGAGAATGATGGGATGCCAATCACTAACATCCATCGACGTCTTGGACGATGGGCAGAATTTTTCGAAGGGCAGTTCAACTGGTCTGCTGCTCCGGCACCATCGGTCAGACTGTCCTGCCCTCCATGGCCGGTGACGACTGATCCACCAAATGAGGCGAATGTCCGCAAGGAACTCCAACTCTTGAAGCGTTACAAATCACCTAGCCCAAATGACTTACCTCCGGCTCTTTTTAAAGATGGTGGTGACATTCATGGACCAATACTATACATATATGTTTATCGTATAATTGTTATATAACTAAACTATTCATATTCATGTTCCTCTTATCATAAGCTTTATTTCGACCTATGAACTATTATTATACGATTTACCATTCTTGATTTATAGCCTGCCTATCAATTACTACCTCCCTCATTCACAGCCACTCTTTTGGCTAGATCTTGTGCAAATGTGTATCTTCTGTATTTTATAGTACGATGTGGTCTGTTTGGGTGGTATATAAACCCAGTATATTTGAAATATAATGATTCATATTGCAGTGACTGAGATTGGTGTTCTGGACTTAACTAGCCAGGCTAGAACCGACAATTACTCTAGACTGCTCGTACTTGTTTCATGCCTCATTAATCCAGTCGATAATTCATTGTTCTCTAATTGACAGTATCTTTCCATCATATATATATATATATATATATTGATAAGGGGTAAAGGGTACAAATCAGAACACCATTAAAAGCATTTATTTAAATTGCATGCTTCACAAATAGAAATAATAAATAGTATTATTATCATTATTATTTTCCCCAGTAAACAAAAGTTTTATCAAATATGTATGTATGCAATGTAATGGATGTATGTATACCATGTGTTTCAAGGGTGTTTCAATGATTCCATTATGTTCCATTATTGTTTACTTCATATTGAAATAATAACTATTATATTACATATATGGTCATTCATTAAATGAAGCTTGGTAACACAATTCTGACTAATATTCATTGAATGAAGCAACTAAGCAAAATAATCTTGTTAATAATCAAGTTTTGTTTGCCGGATAAATAAATTCAATGTTGAGCACACAAACACACACACGCACACAATCTTTGAATAAATAAATAAATAAATAGATAAATAAATAGAGAATGTATTCCCGTGAAGGTCACTTATTCAAGGTTATTTATGAGGAGAGAGTGTAAATAAACAAACAAACAAACAAACGTATGTGTAGAATTCAACTGAAGAAAAAACCAATTTGGTGTTTTTTCTCTTTTTTTTAAATCTTCCCTCTTTTTTTCTTTCTTCCTATCGAAATGAGAATAAATTTGTGATTGTTTGAATAATTAAACCAGAAAAGAGAAAAGAGAATAAAGAAATTTTGTCAATATTCACTTTGAAAAATAAATAATTATGTGCAGTTTTTTTTTATTTTGGTGATAGGGGAAAAGGGCGACGGGGGGAGAGCGTATGTGTTGATGAAGTTCCAGAAAAGTAATTCATGAGAATACTCCTCATTATTCTCTTCTTCTTCTTCTTCTTTTTTAATGTGAATCGTTAATATGTCGATGAGCACCGAATGACATACCAGCTTGTGATGCAACTTGATTTTGTGGTAAACCCATTTGTAAACCAATAACAGATGCTCCATCTGCAGATAAATTATCACAACGTATATCGGCAATATGACGTTGACCACCCATACGCATACCTTTTTGACTAGCTAATTTATTAGTACCATATTGTAAACTGATAACATTTTGACCTTCTTTTGATATATCATCACAACGGATATCAGCGATATGACGACTACTGCCAATTCGCATACCCTAACCATAAATAAGATAAAGGGAACAATAACAAATTCAGTACATATTTTAATGAAAATCAAATTCATGGCGGTAGTCGACTACCTTCAAGAATACCACATTACATCTAAGCATAGTATACGCTTAGACTAGTGGTCATATTGAAACTTGATCGATAGAATTCGATCTGATTTAAGAAGGATCTGACATATATGATATTGATCCAGTGATTAATCATCGGTGTAGTCAGCCATCCTATCGATAGTGCATTAAATAATAGGAGTAATTAAATAGAATAGATAGAATATAGTCAGCAATGAGCTTCAAGAATAGTGTCATTTCGTCCTAGTTAAGACTCGTCAACTGATTGTACCTGTACCTATGTTATAGTTGATGTTTACTCCAGGATTCAAGTCCTCTGAATTGCTGTGTTAACAGTTCTGAAACGATGCTTCGATTGATGACAAAAATTTATTTCGACTAGAATAACAAAAGTTTTGATATATTTCTAAAGTACTATTTATCAATTTAAATTGTACCTAAAAGTGGGATCCAGGATACATGTCTCTTTCAATTTGTGATTCATCAGTTGAACGTATCTTCATTCTAGTTTTGATTACCTAATGAAAACATCCTCCTGACAAGATGAACTTTCTAGATTAAATTCATAACCCTAATCCAAATATACAAATAACTGTAAATAAACGATGTATAGACCCAATTGTACTGAATTGTGATGGTAGTAAAGTGTTTCCTACAGATAACCAATATCTTCTGTGACGGTGCCTCCTCATAATAGATGGAGGGGTTGGAAATGATTGACCCTAAAGTAAGGATATCTCGTTTGACTCCTCGGATTTTCATCATCATTAAAAATACATTTGTACTATGGAGCTAACTACTCGCAAAAGGATCATGTGTCACCTGCAACAAGGTATTGCCCTTTACGCACTCCCGCAACTCTTCTAGGTCGCTAAAACTACTTATAAACCAATTCCCTTTTCGCATACCTCAAGAAGAACTAACCTTCTGTAATGTGGGGAACAGGGAAGTAATAAATCCTTACCCACTACTGATAGTACTGCAGACCACTTTCATTGATTCAAATTACTGGCGGTCAGAATAGGTTAAACCACTATTATTATTGGTTTATCCAAATGTACATCGATAATAATCAATATAGACCGTTTACATTTCTAGTAGAAAGTTTTGACTTGTAACATCAACTAATATGAAAGTGATATAGTTCCCCCATCAAAGACGTTGCATTATAATAATGAGGGAAAGCTCTCACTTGCAATTCTCAAGGCCAAATGAGAAGGGGAAGACCATAGAAGAGCACATTAAGTCGAGAAATGGAGACAGACATGAAAAGAATGAACAACAATTTGATAGAACTAGAAAGGAAGGCACAGAACAGAGTGTGTTGGAGATTGCTGATTGGCGGCCTATGCTCTATTTTGAGTAACAGACGTAAGTATGACTTATCATTTATCGTATGTTGTGAACTACTGTATGTATATATAATCACGTCAGTTTTAAGTGGATGAATAATACAAAGTGTTTGGCCAGCTGGGGACAGAAGATTGTACTGTTATGAACGGGGAATTAAGAAGCCCAGATAATTACGAAAGCTATTTTCTTGGGACGTTATTGCCTTTTTATTCAAACCCTGTAAAACACTTATATTTAGTTTTGTCCCTATCTTATTCTACATAACACGAGCTTTCGTTCTATGTATCATTCATTAGCATACCCTTTTTTGTTCCAAAAATATTGTAATTTAAACATTATATTTTGCAATGTATTTTCTGCCCTAATTCCCTATTTCGGTCATAACTGTATTTTTCCAAATTATCGTACGTCGTGGTCAAGATATTCACTTATTTATTCATGTACATTTTTGTAGTAATCCGAATTCAGAGAATCCAGAGTTCAGTGTCCCAACTGTCTTGTCTTGTCTTCTTTCACTTGCGTACTTGCCAACCAATCAGGATTTAGAATAGTTCTCTCTACCCCATCTCGAACTCACGCGTATTAGACTCAAGGTTAAGCCACTCAGCCTAACGCGTCAAGGTCATAGTTTAGTCTAGACAGATCAAGGTGAAGTCATAACAAGTATCACGGGGTAAAAGCGATTCTAGGTCATAGGATGTGCAAATCGGAATTGGCATACACCTTCGCTAAACTATGGAATTAGTTTTACTGATGTTATATCTGAACAAAGAATAAGTGAATGGTAACTGCTAGGATCGACTTATGAACTAATATTCTTATTGTATAACTGTTAAGTAACTATATTATATGTAGATTCATATTCCTTTTGTTATAAACTTTCATTTGACTTACTGACTACTGTAATACGTTTTACTATTCTTAAGTTATTCCCAATTTGTTAGATACAGTCTCTGACACTCATAGCCACTTTTTGGTTTAATCTTGTATAAATGAAGTACATGATTCATATCGTAGAGGCTGATATTGACGCTCTGAATTAAACTGACTGGGTTAGGTGAGAAGCTACTATCTCGGAGGTTCAATAAGAACTCAGAGTGACTCTAGGCTGTTCATACTGGTTTATACATCATTGATCTGGTCAATAACTCGGTGTTCTGATTGGCGGTCCAATCAGGGTCAAAAGACATACTCTCTAATTTGGATAACAGTTTATGAAACAGATAAGCTGCTTCTAGGTTTCCACACAAAATTCCAAATGGAATGGAATGTAACTTGTAATTAATGTAGAACTTTGAAATCAGTTCTTATGTCACTTAAAAATCGATACAAATAAGATTACTGTGTAATTATTACAGTTTCTCTAAGTTGACTTTAGGTTGTTTTTTTTGTATGGAATAAGTATGAACTGATAATGTTATCTAGAAAGATAATGAACACATCAAGACTAAACCATCTAGTTCAATGAACACAACATCTACAGGTGAAGGGAACCAAACTCTAACAAATACAGATGTATAACATCTTTTAAAGAAGATTCCTTTAGTACATATGAATAAGTTTCTTTACTTATTCATTGTTAACTTTACAAAATGAACCGATTGATGTTAGACCACTATTGAAAACTTGGAAGCACTGGACGGCTATTTTGTCCTGTTGTTGTACTTCTCAACAGTGTGCATCCACAACCCCATCGCGGGATTCGAATCCAGGGCCTCCGGTCTCTCGCGTGAACGCTTAACCTCTAGATCACTGAACCAACCGGCATCCAACGGTGTTAATGTCTAACTTCAACTAATCCACGAAATTTTGAAACCATCTTCCGTTGTACTGAGGTAGATACCTGTCTCTACCCGACAAGGATTAGTTCCACTGGTCACGGCCTCTCACTAGAACTCTGAGAATTCCCTCATGAAGCTAGTCACTAGTGAACAAATGGTAATTATCATAGATAAATGAAAAACGTTGGATGCCGGCCAGTTCAGTAGTCTACAGGTTAAGTGTTCGAGCACGAAACTGAAGTTCCTGGGTTCAAGTCCTGTTGGTGCAAGATCGTGGGTATGCACTAATAAGAAATCCTATACTAAGACAAAACGGTCATTGAATGCTTCCAGGTTTTCCATGGTAGTCAACTCATAAATTCAATTATTAAATATTACAACAATGTTGTTAAAATCTCATTCATATAATTGTGAATAAATTAAATTACCTTTTGTGAAGCAAATTGATTTGTGCCCATTTGTAGATTTATTACAGATTTACCTTCTTGTGATAGATCATCACATTTTATATCGGCAATATGACGTTGATTACTGAAACTCATACCTTTTTGTGATGCAAATTTATTTGTACCCATTTGTAAGCTTAAAACAGCAGCACCTAAAAATAGTTTCCGATTATATTTCGAAGGGAGAGAGGGAGGAATGAAGAGAGAAAAAAACGGGTATTTCTTGAAAATTGGAACAAGAAGGCACCAAATAAATATGCGCCACATAAATCATTCAATTTATGTGAGGGTTGGGATACTGAACGGGTGCCTAAATTGAAGGAGGTGGTTTTCTTAGGGGGCCTTCTACATAAGGGTCTGATCCACAAGGCAGTAGAGCAACGTAAGGAGATGCAGTCCCATGGTATTCGGTGACCGACAATAAGTTCATACTCCATTTAGTCCTTCAGGATACTAGAGCCCATGTGCACCATTGGTTTGGAATCAGGTTTTTCAACTCCCCTAGGTGAATTCTTTGTTCCCACCAACCCGGTTAAAGCTCCTGCCAGATATTCGCTTTCCGTCCTCTCAATTTCCTAAGCAACAGTAATGGCGCGAGAAGGCAGTGAGTAGGTCTGCCCTGACATTGTCTGCATGCACGTGGCAAGGGCATTTCGATGTTTCTTACAGTTAAATAGGATTCCTTTAAACTATATTATACGAATTATGTTTAATAAGACAGATTAACTGACGTTAGAAATGTAAATCAACTCAGAGATCTGAAAGTTAAGTGCTCCTATCTATTCCTGAAGATCATGGATGTGTACTACTAAGAGATTCCATAGTAGGACGAAGCAAATGGCAATCTTTCCTGGTGTTTACTAATCGTCTAACTAAAGTCATTCTTTGATGTTAAACCATAAAAATGTGATTTTAACTTCTATTATGTATTGGCATCAGTTAGAAAATTATTGAAAACCATACTTTCAGATGTCTTGATACGGCCGAAGGTAAGGACTGTCCGCTATCTCTCTTTTTAAATGTTCATATATGGCAATGTATTTATAGCTTTTACTAGGGAAGTCCTTTACCACGGTGTTATTTCTACAAAACTGAGAGGGCAGAAAATTAACCGGTTTGGTGGATAGAGATGGTTCATCTAGGGAAGCTGAGAAATCCTAATGTCAAACTCATATAGTATATGGGTCTCAAGATACTGAAGGGATGAATAGTAATTAAACCAATTTCGGTCAACAGCTACCGTAAGACTACCTTTTCTGAAGTTATTCCACTGTCATGTGGGTTAAACATCTGGGTCAATGACTCGACGAATGGTCTCTTTCAAAACAAAAAAACACAACTAGTCTTGTCTGAGTATGCAGTCAGTATTGCAGCTAACACATATGTAACATGATGAGTCGTTAAACAGTTACTTCACTGTAGTTTGAAGCTTTTCAAGAGTAATGTAATGGAAGTCTAACAATGGATTACTGCTTATTCATTTAAAAGTATTTGGATCACCGCCGTATTAGATTGAACTATCCACAATATAATCAATATGTATATATTGTCATCAGCTTCATGCAAATGCTGTAACTGATCAATAAATGTGAAGGTAAACACATAACATTACACTATGTACAAAAGATTATCAGATTGCATAACAGTCATTCCAATTACATTACATTGATATTTTGTTTACTAACTGATTTTAATATATTTTACTCTAATAAACTCATGTTCTGTTCTATACGTGATTCTTCATAGTTGGATCAGACAAATGAACTGAGTGTGTTATGTAATCAACTGACCTAGTGTTCATTATATTGATCCATTGTTTAGTATGAACAATCTGAACAATCTATGATTGTGAAAACAAAATTGTGATTATCAGTAAGAGGATTTATGAAGATGGTGATATTTTTCATAGTTGAATTCATGTGTTAATCTAAGCTAGTGACTAGTTTCAGGTTGGATTTCCTAACGTTCTAATGAGAAGTCGTGATCAATCGAGTCTAATCCGTATCCAGTGTGAGACAGTTATCCAACTCAGACAATACATAAACAATTGCACAAGATTACAGATTAATTGAAGTTAGACAATAACATGATTGAATGCCGTTTCAGTGGTCTACAAGTTACGCGTTCTCACACAAGGCTGAGGGTCCTGTGCTCGAGTTCATTTGTTACGGGATCATAGATTAGCACTGTTGAGGTCTCCCATACTAGGACGAAACATCTATCTATTGTTTGAAAGTTTTTCATGGTGGTCTAGCTTTAATAGACTCATGAATTAAACTAGTAACAATCGTTATTAGTTATGATATGACGACAGGATGAAAATATTTTCATTTACCGTGATATGATATGATACTATAATATGATAACACATCATATGCTTGTAGTGACCTACTTTTACCAAGAGAACGCGATTGATTTAATGGAAACAATCATCATTATAACCAGTTGTACCAGTGTTTGTTTTACTGTGCTAAAGACAGCCATATTACTGCTCCATTATCTTTCGACTGTGACATTGCACGGGTTCGGTTACGCTCGGTAACCACGCTTGTACTCCTTTGGCACGATCTCGGTATCCTTTCAATACCACGAGATCGCCAACAAATACATCTCGACTACAGCCATCAACTGCCTTCTGATATTTGGCTTACGGGGGATTTTATCGGTTAACCGGCACCTAGTCTTCTTGTAGTAGTGTTCATAGTCAATCACGACTCGACTCCACGCTTCAATTGGGGGGAGTACAAGTGGAATCAGCGGACAGGAGTACGAACATACGAGGTCACAATCTGCGGAAAAAGTAATGGAGAGTAATGGAGGAGGAGTAATATGGCTGTCTTTAGCACAGTAAAACAAACACTGGTACAATTGGTTATAATGATAATTGTTTACATTAAATCAATCGCGTTCTCTTGGTAAAAGTAGGTCACTACACGCTCGAAATTAGATTACCACTAAACTGGATCATTTGATTAGGACGTTGCTCATACACTAAGTCCATATTATATCAGATACACGATTCATAACCAAGTATAGAGAGCCAGAACATACTTTCCTCTACACAGTTACTATACACAAGCAAGTTCAAAGTAGAAGTCCATTAAGGAAAAGGTAATCACATTAAAAAGTTAGTAAGATTACCCCTGTCAGTCTCCACTTAGTAACCAATCATATTTTAGTTTCCTCGAACTCCCAATGATTTACTGAATATAAACTAGATTTAATTGATTACCTTCTGGTGTCATATCATCACATCGTATATCAGCAATATGACGTTGAGCACCAAATGACATTCCTTTTTGTGATGCTAATTTATTTGTTCCAGCTTGTAAACCAATAATCCCTTCACCAGCACGTAATTTCTCTTCTGTCCATTGACGTGGTTGTGAATAAGTAGGTTTTGGTCCACAAACAGGACCTTGAAATCCATTACGTTGACACTATACATAAAAAAATAACAAATAATTGTCTGTACTAAAGAATTCTCAGTTCAAATCTAAACAAAATTCAAGATAGAAGTCTTCTATCTGAAGTTTGTATTGATGATGTTGTTCAGAAGAACAATGAAAGCTCCATGATCAAAACATCCAGCTTCGAGAACAAAACTCCCTGTTTTCTAACAATAATTAGTTACCATTCATATTGATCAATAAGTGTTTATCATTACTCTTTCCTTCCATTATATCCCTGTTTATTAGTGATTATATTTGATATGTGAATTACATAGTGAATCCCTCTCATTTCTTTAAAGATTATAGTAGGGAGGGGGGAAATATAAAAAACCATTGTGGTGGTGGTGGTGTTTAACTGTAATTAGATTCGTAACAGATTGCATACATTTTATTGAAGTAAGTACACATAGTTAAACTCCGCCTGTAGCTCTTCAAGAGTTACTGCCGGTCCCAAGCCCGGGTAAAGGAGGAGGGTTAGGCATGGGATTAGCGACCACATCCCGTAGAAAACTAACTTGCTGAAAAAACGCTAACCAGGAACAATAATTCAAACCATTTAAACTCTGCCCTGGGTGTTAAAACATCTACATTTAGAAGAGTTATGACACCCCATAGTGAAAGTCGAGTTCCTTTGAAAGTCACGAGGTTGATGCCCCATCTGACAACCAGAGCAACCCCTAATTTAGGTATATGAAATATCCACCTCATAACTAGAACCAAATGAAGATTATAAACCAGTATGGGGAATTAGGATTATGATTCACAGTTCATGGTTAAGGTTAAGAATTAATTTCAAAGTTTTCATCATGAACCGACATCAACTAGATTGCCAAAACGCTATTTAGCCAAATAAAATGGATGAGTTTCTCGACAAAACCCAAGACCCCTTATTCCAAATCTGATTAGTTTGTCCATAAAGTATAGTCACAACAAAATATCTGTAACAATATACATCAAATTTGAGGATAATACAGTAAAGATATTGAGAGAAATTAAGTTTTTATTAAAAAGACTGATAGGTCCTGGGTTCGAATCTCTCGGGAGGGCGAGATTGTGGATACACACTGATGAGGAGTCTCACAATAGGACGAAACGGCCGTCCAGTGCTTCCAGGTTTTCCATGGTGGTCTAGCTTCAAATGACTCATGATTTCAATCAATCTCCACAACACCTAAACTGAAAAAGAATAAAGTTTTTCGGTGTTCATTATTTGAAGAGATCATGAATACATACTTCTAAGAGGTTGCACATAAGAATGACAATGATGTTCAATGCATTAACTAATCCAAAAAAATGGAAACCTACTTCAGTTCCTAATTGTAATAGAGTAGCTAATACTTGTGCCATGTTTCTTGCTTCAAATAAATCAACAGTTTGAAATAAACATTCACGTGGTACACCATATGCTTCGGATAAATCAAGAAATCGTTGAATATTCTCCATCTGTAAATAAGAATTAATAAATAAAAGAGATAATTGAGATGGTGGGAAAGATTTATAGTTCAGGTGGATGATTTTGATGGAGTTCTGTTCTCGGAGCTCGATGGTTTGTTGGTGAAGCTTTCATCGTCCTTCTGAACAACATCACCAGAACAAACTTCAGGTAGAAATGAAGAAATTTGAATACTTCACTTCACGCATGACCATATGAGAGCATTTGGAAAAGAAGAGTGGACTCTCCCCACCTTTGGCTGTACCAAAACATTTAGGGGTGTCTCATACGGATACGAAACAACTCTTCAACTAACAACAATTTCTAATCTTAAATAAATCATTTTATTTACTAACTGGTTGCTAAGTGAATACACAAAAATGTATCCAAAATAATGAAAAAAAGAAGCCAAGATCCGAAAGATTTTCACATTAATTTTTTTCTTTCGGTTTCTATGTTTAGTTTGTTTATGATTAAAAGTATTTTTCTTCTATGAAAAGTAAAACAAAAAAAACAGCATCTACCTAACTTTCATATTAGTTGCCAACACAAATCTCCTTTTTTTTCAAAAAGAGATTTGTATTGGAATGAAGAGAAAAATAAATGAATTATCGTTTACACCAAGGAATATATTGTGCATATGTGTATATATATAGAGAGAGAGGGGGCAGAGGTGTTTGTGTGTATGGATGATTATGTAACTGCATTTTCTGACATATATCTACGCACACACACACACACATTTATATATAATAGTAATAATAATAAGACAAAGTATTACTTTTGATTTATTTACAGGACTAAGTATACCTTCTATGCACTAATTTCCATTATTATAGTTTTACACCCTAACAGAATTGAAGGGAGAAAATGGGATAGATGTTACCATGATATACATTCATTCTATTATTCTGTATTAAATAGCTGATAATAATAATAACTAAGATAAATTCAATAATGACACTCATTGATTTCCTACTTTCATTGGTATCATTCATTTAGATAGGTTATGATTATATAGAATGTAGTAATGCACACTGAAATAGATAGTTCTAATTCTTCATATACCATATGTCTTTTAGGTACATTTATGATAGGTTGGTTGTATGTATTAAACTATAATGTGAACTGGTATTACATAAATGTAATTCAATCCTTATCATTACATGTAAAGAATTGTAGGAATCATTTGAAGGAAATGTATTTGACCTAAATTTTAGCATGGATTTGTACTGCTATGTAGGTTATAAGTGAATGTTCAATTTGTCTGATTATTAATGATATTGGAATTGGAATTTATGTTATGTAACATTCATATATATATAGATGATCTGTTCAATCTCTATAAAAATCTGTTCTGACACTAAATAACATATGCTTAATAGTGACTGGCTTCAAGCTCGACCGTAGCTGCCACTCTCTAGATTCTTGTTTAACTATATCGTAGACGTGCTTTTAGAGATAACACCTTACTCATCTAAATTTCCAGGAGTTGAACTTCTACCAGGAGATTCACTTATTGACTTAATATACTGATGACATAATTCTATTTGGTGAAGACACTGACAAAATGTAGAGTCTTCTGACCTCTATAAGCAACAATGCAAGCATGTTCGGGATGCGATTCTTCCCCTCGAAATGCAAAATGTTGCTTCAGGATTGGGTTGCATCGATACCCGAACTAATGATAGTGAGTGAAGTAGTTGAGCGTGTCGACCGCTTCACTTATCTCGGTAGTCTCATGAGCCTTTGTAGTCTGGTGTGTGACGAAATCTTAGCAGGGATACAACGTCCGTCTAGCTTTTACCAACTTGCGTCATTTATGGCGTAGGCGAAATATCCGTCTACCAACCAAAGGACGGGTCTACTGCGCAACAGTTCGTTACATCCTACTTTATGGCAGTGAAACATGGCCGGTAAGAGTAGAGGATATTCGTAGGTTACTAGTATTCCATCATAGGTGTCTTCGAAACATTGCTCGTATATCCTGAGACGACCATCGAGTAAGTAATGCAGTTGTTAGGAAACAGGTATTAGGTAAGAATGGCAAATCAATTGATGAAGTAGTGAAACTTCATCAGTTGAGATGGTTGGGACATGTTTTACGTATGCCCGACCAGTGACTGGCCCGACGTGCGATGCTTTATGATGTAAGAGTAGGTTAGAAGAAAAGTAGGAGCGATCAGACGAAAACATGCCATAAGTCCATTAAGTCACTGACAAGTAGACTGAGCCATGTTGGTAGGTGTAGACTACATGACAGGGATCCGCGAGATGATAGCAACCGATAGTAAGAGACCTTGAATGACATTGGTTCAATATCGTTTGCAGTGGCGCAGATGCATCCACTCTTTGTGTTCTAGTGTTCTAAATTCTTCATGTCCCTTATTTTCTTTTCAAATTTATTTCACTGTATTATACTCCTTGAATAACATCTTCAAGCCTTATTGTTTCCGATTACTGCTTATACTTTTAGTATCTCTACCACTACGGGATTTGAATCGACAACTGAACCTCTGTGATAATGTGGTATGACAACTCAAACTGACAAGACAAAACTACATTGGTATATAAAATGAACACTCTTTATCGCCATATCATGCTGGTATCTAATGTGACAGATTTAAGAATAAAACTAATTTACTAAAGATATCGGCAACCTTCAGTCATTTCTCCTCTCCATTTTGTGTTTAAGTGATGTATGGTAAGTTGTAATCTTCTTAAAAATTATCATTTCGAGCCTTATCCTTTACCTGTATACAACTGACTCTAGTCTTGACAATAAAATAACACACTGTAAAGTTTCTCTCTAATATAGTAATAGTCTTAGGTTATTTCTCTTAACACTTTAGCTCTTAGATTGTTACTGTAGTGTTTGCTACTAATGTTGACAGATATAAGTCGTATACATCACCAATCGAATGTGAAACGCCTGGAGGCAAAAGGTTAAGAAGATCGAAGAAAAACGAACGAGAACACAGAATGATTGCTGTGGAAATGAAGGAACAGTGAAGTCTGAGACGATTGATTGACATTTTGCAAATGAAGGATTTACTGTATGGTTCTCAGATTTTACTAAGAGATTCTGTAATGTTGTATTCAAATACATTCTATTGTCCCTGCTTTATGTTCTTATTCATTACAGTACTACAAAAAGTTAACAAATGGTAATGTCAATTCATAATCTATCAACATAATATTGTATTCAATCCCTTGTGGGATCGTGAATCTACACTGTTACTGAAATATCCTATTACTGTGATAAAACAGTTGTTCAGTCCTTTCAGGTTGTTCACATTTATGGCATGCAGACTGCTCGTAAAAGTACTGGTGAGAAGGCACCCAGGAAACAGTTAGCTATTAAAGCAGCACGTAAAAGTGCAGCAGCTACTGGTGATGTTAAGAAACCTTATCGTTATCGTCCGGGAACAGTTGCCCTACATGAGATTCATCGTTAACAAAAGTCCATCGAGCTACTCATACGCAAACTACCCTTCCAGTGTTTGGTCTGGGATATTGAGCAAGACTTCAAGACCGACCTACGTTTCCAAAGTTCGACAGTTTCTGTCCTTCAGGAGGCAAGCGAAGCCTACCTTGTTGGCCTTTTCGAAGACACTAACTTGTGTGCCATTCATGTCAAACATGTCACTATTATACCAAAGGACAAACAACTGGCTCGTCGAATCCGTGATGAACACACCTAAGTCGACCTATGATACGACTGTCCTATGAGAGAGAATATTGAAGGAAGTGTAAGGCTTGAGACTAATCTACGGACTAGAGATATTTATAAGTTCATTGCATAATTATTAGATAGTTGTATTATTGTGTTTCTATATTCACCTCATTGTTATATTCCAGCAGACGTACTAACTATTGTATTACGTTTGACTATTCCTTAATTCTTCCTAATAAATTATGTACTATTTGCATCGCTTTTAGCCACTTTTAGTGAGATTAAAGTATTTTTTTTGAGGAACATTTTGACCAGATAGTTAAGCGTTCGTCCGTAAAACCGAAAGTCCTGAGTTTGATCCTCTCTATGGAGTCCCATACTGGGACAAAATAGCTGTCAAGTAAATTCATGTATTCAACGGTTATTCAGTTCATGATATCATTAACAATCTAATGTTTCAATGTTTGAGATCATAAGTCAATTAAAGCTAGACCACCATGGAAAACCTGGAAACACTGGACGGCCGTTTCGTCCTAATGTGGGACTCTTCAACAATGTGCCGTTTAGTGCGTCCAGGTTTTCCATGATGGTCTAGCTTCAGTTGAATCAAGATCTCAACTACTGAAATTACTATAATGTCCACAAAAAACCCTTCTGATATGAATGTAATGTTTGTTTAAATAGCATTTTAAATTAAATTTAATGCTTTTTCATCATATAATTTTAGACACTGATAATACAGTAATAATGTATTTAGGTGTATTATGCAAAATAAAGGTAATAACAACAAACAAAGATAAAGTAAACATCACCTAGAAGATAAAAACTGAAGCAATTGGGTTAAAGAATACAAAGAACAAAGTAACCGCCTGCTTTGTTTACATCTACATGAACACTAGTCAACTGCTAAACACTATGGTATCACATCACTTATATCAATGCGGCATGAAGGATTGGGAACATAAGCTCTGGCGAGCAACAATCAAAATGTTGGACAGGAAATACAAAGAAATACAGAGAATATTTAGAAGTCTGAGACTCAGGTCAAGCATTAATCAATAGGCATATGGATAGTGACTTAATCAATTAATTAATCGGGGGAAGGAAAAACACCTAATAAGATCAGAGATCATATCAGCAAAGAAAACAATCAAAATAGATATACAGTACAGCAATTATAATCAGTAACCAAATAGAATTGCAGGTCAACATAACAAGCTATTAGTCAATTATAGAGGACCGTAAGTCCCAGGTTCGATTCTTGAGTGTTGGATCGTATGTACGCACCGCTTAGGAGTTCCACACTACGATAAAATATCCATTCAATGATTCCATTCTTTCAGTGGTGGTCTAATATTGATCAGTGAATGATTTCAATGAAATTTTAAAGAAATCTTGACGGCTTATTTCTCTTTAAAGTACAATGTTAACCAAAACAAGTAAGTTTTAAAAATAAACTATCCACCTTCAGAGGAATTCTGATCAGAGAAATTAAAGTTCAATGTCTTATCAATAAATTTTACTCACTTTGAAAATGATAATTTACGACTGTATTTTCATAACCACATTTAAATTTATGATCATATGAATATCATCAGTTTGAGAGTTTTTATGGAGATTGTGGAGATCACGCAACTTCGTGGATTGGTTGAGGTTAGACATTAACACCATTGGATGCTGGCTCAGTGGTCCAGTAGGTTGAGCGTTCGCGCGAGAGACTGAAGGCCCTAGGTTCGAATCCCGCGAGCGGGACCGTGTTTGCGCACTGCTGAGGAGTCCCACAATAGGACGAAAAGGCCGTCTAGTGCCTCCAGGTTTTCAATGGTGGTTTAACATCAATCGGTTCACGATCTCAATCAAAAACTTAACAATCTCCACAACCCCTAAACTAGTAATTTAATAGTTGGATTCATGAGTCGAACTAAACTAGACCACCATTTAAAAAAAATGAGAGTACCGGGTAGCCATTTCATCCTAGTGTGGGACTCTTCAGCAGTGCACATCTACAATCCCATATGCGGGACTCAAACAAATGATCTTCTCTCTCGCGTATGAACTCTTAACCTCCAAACCATTGAGCCGACATCTAACGGTGTTGAATTTGGATCGGTTAAAGTTATACATTATCACCGTTATACACCGGCTCAGTGATCTAGAGATTAGGCGTTCACATGCAAGACTGAAAGTCCTGGGTTCGATTCCCGCTTGTCGAATCATGAATGCGCACTGCTGAAGAGTCCCATCCTAGAACTAAACGGCCGTCTAGTGCTCTTAGGTTTTCGATGATGGTCAAACACGGATCCATTCATAATATCAATCAAAATCCAATAATCTCCATAACCCTATACTGGTAGAATGAAATGTGTTTATTAACAATCATAAATAGAAAAAAGCAGATAATCATATGGTATGAATCCTTTTCTTTTTTCAGTGAATAAACTAAACTATTAACAATACTAGTCAGAAAAATTTCTCACTTGTTTAAATGGTGCAGTTCCTGTGTTTGCATTTATTGGTCTACGTATTGTTTGAGCTTTTGGTGGTAAATTCGGTGTACGTTCATATACAGCATTGATAAGTCTGTAAATTGAATGTTTAGAAGAGAAAGTAATGATAATAATAGTAGTAGTGAAAGTACAATCTCTATGTAATGACATGGAGAGAGGTATCTACCTTAGTACAATGGAATATGGATCGGTTGAAATTAGACATTAACACCGTTAGATGCCGGCCAGCTCAGTGGTCTAGAGGTTAGGCGTTCGCGCATGGGAGCGAAAGTCCTGGATTCGAATTTCGAGGGGGCGGGATCGTGGATGCGTACCGCTGAGGAGTCTCACAATAGGACGAAATGGCCGTGGAGTGCTTCCTGGTTTTCAATAGTGTTCTAACATCAATCGGTTCATGATCTCAATCAAAAATTCATAGTTCATTTGATTTTAATTGTAACATGTTTTATTGGTCAAAAAATTAACAAAATGACCGACAGGCTACTTTTCATTCATATTGGTTGTTTGGATCTTCCCATTAATGTTTAATATTGAGATTGATCAGTTTCTTTTTGGTATATGTGTATTCTGTACGGACTGCCATGATATTACCAATAAATCAAAAGCATTAAAGCAGTGATGGATAGATGGTAGTTAACAGTGATATCCAGGACGTGCGCCTCGTCCTATTTAGGACTCGTCAGTGACCTGGATTCCACTGCTACCCACCAACCATCACTGCTTGAAGTGACTAGTAGACTAACTGAACCATCTTTAGTTTTGTTGAAAGAGATCATGATATTCTATATAGAATCTACCTCTACCAATCTTTTCTAGTATATTCAACGAAAACTGACAACCCAATAATCAGTAAAGAAATCATTATTTGACTGAAGGTCAAAATGTGCACCTGGTGTAATTAGTTGAATTTAAATTACGGACGATAACCTACTATATTTAGACAAATCTAACACAATAGCACCTTAATGATGACAACAGTACACGACTAAGAACGAGAAGACAAGGCCTTTTTAAGACAGTTTTTATGTCTCAAGTAATGATATAGCGACTCACGTGCAATTGAGTTTGTTCTCATTTAACTCGGTTAAGCCCTTCTGTTAACTTATTTAGCGGACAAAGACGTCCGCACTATAACAACTTATTGTACCTTTATTATTGTTGTGCTTGTATGAAATATGTATGCTTGAACATTGTTTAGCGCTTACGCATAGATTCATTCTGCTAGCTTCATTATTAGCTGCTTAATTGATTAGCCGATTATCCATTTCGCTATATATACTATACATATATACAACATTTACACTCTGCCACTCACTACTACTACTGCTACTACTGCTACTGCTACAAACACAGTTCGCTTGCTCATTCGTTTAGCCTCTCTACTGTGTGGTCGGATTATCTGCTAAATAAACTGTGGTAGCTGCTTCGTTTTACCTTCTGATTTCAAACACCGTTGAAGACTGTACGATAACGGTTCGAGGGTGATTAGTTATCGAAGCACAGCCACTACAATGACAACTTAGTAACTATCGTATTATACAAAGCAAAATGACCAGTAGAAACGGGTTGCATTTACATGATATTAATGTATCATTATAGAAGTGAGGTAAAAAATAATTGTTTCTTTAACAACTTCACCTGCTCCTAATATCGATTTTTAAGTCAACTTCAACTGTACCATTGCATTCTTATTCAACCGTACAAAGGTATTATGCAAGCACAGAGACTTAAAAATTCCAAGTTCAATCGTATATAGAACTGTATCCATGTATCAATGATTTAAACTGAATACTAGAACGAAGTAACTATGCAGTATTCAATTGCTTTTCAATAGTTGTCAATTTGTTGTTAACATGTAATAAATAAGTCATCCAAACAAACCATGTACACTAAAATAAATAAAGTGATATTTGTCACAGAATGTTCTCGGTTGATGAGAGGTAAACACTGTATCCCTCAACAGTGCATATCCATGATCATATAGAGAACTGAATCTTAAACCTTCAGTGATCAGTACGGGCGTTTAACCATAAAGCTACTGAGTTAAAATCCAGTGAATCATTTTCATAAGTTCACTTAGTTTGTGATATAGCGTGACGATCATTTGTGAGAACTATTTCATTCCAAACACATCTGGACTTCACCAGTTACGATTTCTCACTAGAACTTCTGACAGTTTCCTACGAACTAACCTACAACAAACGTAGTGATTCCAATCGCATTTGACCACATATTGTTACACTATTCAATTGTACTAGGATACCAAAATTTGGATCCTATTTCACGTGAATGATAATTGAGTTTACCAACACAGGCGATATTCAAAGCTCTTGTAACATCTAATCGCGTTTGTTTTTAAACAGAAGTATATATCCTTATTGTGAGAAGAAATATACTCTGTTGACAGCTATTCCATCATCTGGTATTCTTTTGGCTGAGCAGAAGCTGTCAGTCAGTCACATTATACCACTAAGTGCCATCTATTTATTTGTAAAATTCCAACTCGTAACAACGATCCAATGAGGTAAGGCTGAACCAAGGTCAGATCAACTCATAGTGTTGAGAATAACATTTAAAGTTTGATAGAATTAGTTGATCGCTTAAATAACAGGCAGAAATAATGATCATTAATATGGACGATAATATCACCACTTAATTGAACAAAAACATAATGAAAAAAATTCCGCCATAATCACCGCCCACTAAATTACATCTCAGTCATACAGGAGGTCAGTCGCGATCTGGACAACTCAATGGTAACATCTCTTACTGTGAACCTGAGTGACATATGATCAAATCCGTCAGGGAACATCAGTTCCCTCAAGATTACATGTACACCTTGCTGATAAGTGCCAAACAGAACGAAACTCGGGTCTAGGGAATTCCTATTGACTATCTCCAACCACTACCTTACGTTCGCCTAGTGGTCTAGGGGTATGATACTCGCTTCGTGTGCGAGTGGTCCCGGGTCCGAGTCCAGGTTGGGCCCGTACTTCCCGACCGTCGTTGCTACCTCGAATTGGTAGTCGGGCTCCCCTATCGTGATGAAGCAACCGAGCTATATTGGCTGGAACAACCGTTCCTCAAGGTCCTACCATGTCAGACAGGTCGGTTAAAGAGAGGTAAGACTAAAAGCAACAAACCCAAGGTCCGAAGGCGAAGTCGTACTGCTGACTGTACAGAGGTGTGACAGTAGTAAGATGTTCCCTTTAGACAACCAGCATGACAGCGATGCTGCCTTCCCACAAGGAGAGGTGGGGTTAGAAAAGGTTGACCCTAAAAATGCACACCTTGCCTTGTCCCACAAATATCTTTCTCCGGTGATAAGGTCTCAAGAAGTACGGAGTTAACACGAAAATTACCCACAAAGAGGTTGTGTGTGACCGACCTCAGGCAGTCGTCCCTTGGGCACTGCGGTCACGTTCTCAGGTCACTAAGACCACCTCTAATCCAACTCCTTTTTCAGATACCTCCAGAAGAACCCTTCCACGGTGTGGGCAACCGAGAAGTGATAATCGCCCTCATACCTCTAACAGCACTCAAGATCACTGTATTTATAAGACCTTACATTGACAAATATTATAACAGCTTTATTTTTAAGAGAAGAACAATAGGTCAACTAATTGAATCTATATACATGATTAAGGAATTAAATTTAATTATCAGTCTATCTGTTATATCATAAGTAATTTGATGTAATACATCATGATGAATATTTAAGAAGTATACAGTGATAACAACAACAACAACAATAAACCCATTCTTCCTTACTCAACAAGTATTTGACCATTTTTTAATGTTCTTTGAACATTTTCACGTCCAAGAGGAATATTTTGTCCAGTTAATTGTTGTATCCATCCCATCACTTGACGTTCTGCATCTGGATCATATCTACTATTCAACTGGAATATGATACATTAAAAATACAAACAAAAAATTGCAGGAAATTTGTAACTTGAATAAATCGTATTGTGATAATGTTACATTCTTCAAGTTGAATAATTGAATTATGAATTTCTCATCATCAGTGTTAATTCTATATTGAAATGTATTTTTTTTCAATGATTCATTAAGTTAAATAGATCCATTCATTCTGTGGTGAGACTCTAATTTATAGACGACGAACGAATTCCCTGTGAATCGATCGTACGTTAGTATTTAGCACTGAAGTTCGCGCTGTAACCTTGAAATCTCTAAAAAGAGCCTCTGATTGGCTCGTCCATAAATTAGAGTCTCGTCGGTTCTATTCCCGTAGAATGTTTCCTTATCAAATGTGAATAATATTTGTCATGATTTTGGTGGAGTTTTGTTCTCTGAACACGTTTTTAAAGTAAATAAACAAATTAATAAAATATAAATTAATGTCTGATAGATTAAGAGTGATGGTTAGATGTCTATACTCCTCTATGAGAGATAACAGAAGTAAGGAATACTGAGTCAGTCAGAAATCGTTTAAATGACTAGTTCATTAGTTCACAGTATATAAGAACAATCATTTCTTTTTTAATGTTCAATACAAATGAAAATATTCAACATTTTCAAACATTTTACACCATTCGTTTAGTATTACATTGCTGCATATACTTACCTACTTACTTACGCCTGTTACTCAAAATGGAGCATAGGTCGCCGACCAGCATTCTACAACCCATTCTGTCCTGGGCCTTCTTTTCTAGTTCCATAGAATTCTTGTTCATTCTTTTCATGTCTGTCTCCATTTCTCAACGGAACGTGTTCTTTGGTCTTCCTCTCCTTCTTTGACCTTGAGGATTCCATGTGAGGGCTTGTCTTGTGACGCAGTTGGGTGCTTTCCTCAATGTGTGTCCTATCCACTTCCAGCACTTCTTCCTGATTTCTTCCTCCGCTGGGATCTGGTTTTTCTTTCCCACAGTTGGTTGTTGCTAATAATGTCTGCCCAACGGATCCGAAGTATTTTGCGTGGACAACTGTTAATAAACACTTGTATCTTCTGGATGATGGCTTTCGTAGTTCTCCAGGTTTCTGCCCCATACAGTAGAACTGTCTTGACATTTGTATTGAAAATCCTGACCTTGATATTGGTTGACAGTTGTTTTGAGTTCCAGATGTCCTTCAGTTGTAAATACACTGCTCTTGCTTTACCGATACACGCTTTCACATCTGCATCAGTTACTACATATAAGATTATGCAATTTTTACTAAGAACTCTATTTCAATCATTTATACCCTATGAATACTTATTTGTGTAGTAACTTAACTTTCGGAATAAAAATGAGAAAAATTGACATTTACTAGTGAAAACTATGTAGTTATATACAATATCTAATCAGATCGTTGATCGGATATCATCATCCCCAACAGCCCACTATGGGAGAGAACAAATCAACTTCTAGCTGAGGAGGAAATTAGGAAAAAATATTGAAAGTGCACAGCATATACATTACGGAAATCATCAAACTGCATCACGAGTCAAACATGAACCTGGAATCCTGAATAAAAACGGAAAAGAGGAAGGTCAAAGAACACACTATATCGGGAATCGTAAGCAGACAAGAAAAGAATGAATACCAACTAGAAACAACTGGAAATGAAGTAACCATGACAGAGTTGGATGAAGAATACTGGTGAGTGACCTATACTCCTCCACGAGGGGTGACAGCCGTAGAAAAACAATATATATGTATATATATACCAGGAAGATTTCAAGTTCCTGGTCTTTGTTAATTAATGTTAATTTCTAACTTGTAATAAATGATGACCTATAGTCCTTTTTTGACTTCATATTCCTGAATATGCCTCAATATTACGTCATAACTTGGGATTGCTCATATTTCAACACACGTATCACAAGCAGAGTTTAGACCTCGGACCGTAGAGGCTTTTAAAGTTTACACTAATGAGGAGTTCTATAATAGAACGAAACGATTGCTAATGCTTTTTTAAATGAAGTTAGTCCATGATCTGCAACTACAAATCCATCAACCTTCACATAACCTTTTACTTAAAGAGTGAATTTACTGGATAAAGTGTTAACTTTCTTTTATTGCTAATATTTCCAAACTGTATAGATTATACTCTGTTATCACACTACCCAGTCAAATGGATGTTTCATTATAATGTGAACTTAAAAGTTGATGACATTTTAAACAATCACTAAGTGAATAAGTGAAAATGACCATTCAATCTTTCTGTTACATCAATTAGACATATACACATTCTGATGAGATTCAAACTTCAATACTACTCAATTCCAATGTGTTAAGTAGTTTCTAGATAGTTAATAATAAAATATAGATTACATCTATCAATATAAATAGCATACATCACATTAATAACTACCCATACAATACATATCACATACTACCAATCTTCTTGTTTTAGAACCCAAGATAATCAGTCGAGTACTTTCTTGAACTTAAGACTCACTTGATTAGATCCATGTTATATAAGTTTGTAGTACAACATATAGAATATCACGTTATATACACATCTGCTCACTAGTGACTGACTTCAAGAGATACTCCTGGAGTTCTAGTGAGAAGCCGTTACCAGTGGAGTTCAACCAGGTCTGTTGTGAGATATCAGCTCACTGAAGACAATGTTGTACGGTGGCGCAACTTTGTGCATTGGTTGAAGTTAGACATTAACACCGCTGGATGCCGGCTCAGTGGTCTAGTTGGTTAAGCGCCTGGAGCGAGACTGATAGGTCCTGGGCTCGAGTCCCGCGGGGTGCGGGATCGTGGATGCGCACTGCTGAGAGGTGCCACACTGGGACGAAACGGCTGTCCAGTGCTTCCAGGTTTGCCATGGTGGTCTAGCTTCAATTGACTTCAATCAGTGAAAATTTCTAAAATCTCCACAAAACCCCTTCTGACATTTAAAATATTCTTGTTACAGAGTTTACGAAATAGATTTAACGGGGATTTCCAGATAGAGAATGATATGACAACAGTTAAGTAGATGTATCAACTTACAACAATGTCAAAATAGAACAAATCAAGTAATTTATAATTTAATAGTTGAATTCATGAATCAATTGAGGCTAGACTACCATAGAAAACCTGAAAGCACTGAATGGCTGCTTTGTCTTAGTATAGGACTCCTCCGTGGAAGTGCGGATCCACGATCCCGCCTCGCGTGATTCGAACTCAGAACCTACAGGTCTCGTACGAGAGCGCTTAGTCACTAGACCACTGACTCGGTGCTAATGTCAAACTTTCAACCAATCCACGAATTGTATATTAGAAGCATATTTGTACTAACTAGTTGAAGGATAAATTTCAGAATATCCGATTTTCATCTACTTGTTCATTCATTACACTGAATAGCTGATTTCATTACTATTTTTGGATTCTATAATAATACGGGCCCATAACTCCATATAATTGAATCGAACTCAGATACTATACAATTCATAATCTATCATTGTTCATATTAGAATATTGAAACCATTTAAATAATGTAAAGAGGATCAATACTCGAATTACATGGTGATTTAATTAATCTACCCATTTCCTACAATTCAGATGTGTTTTTTTCCTAAGTCAGTCAGTCAGTCAGCTACAACGTAGGACCAGGGACAAATAAGCATCGGTCAAAGTTGCTATACCTCATTAGCACAACAAGATGATCACCAAATTCATAGAAGTAGTAACTTTAATGGTAGTAATATATAAAAGAAGCGTTGTGTATAAAGATATAATACAGGAAGAAAGAATTAGTTGGTAGAATGTAAGATATAAAGCAAATTTAATCTCATAGTTTAAGGGAAGACAAAGAATGTATACAGCTACACCATTGTGATCGATTCTGAGCCATATCACCAAGAGTCTCCACTCATTGGTTAAGACAATCACGCGGACCTCAACCAAGTAGTCTACATTTACCAACATGGCTAAGACTAACAGTTAGTGACTTCAATCACTGATGCCACATTGTGGTTTGGTCACTCCTAAGTTTCTCCCATCCATCTCCAACACTAATCAGCATTGCACGTCATGGTAATCGGTGTTCAGGCATACACAGCACGTGGCCCAACTATCTCAGTCGATGAAGATTCACAACCTTATCAACTGATTTACTGATTTACACTATTCATATGTTTAAACCCATAACTGAATACCTCTGAAATCAAATGGCTTTAACCATTAAACACAACTATATACATAGAGAGAGTACACAATGTATGATCATCCATTGAATTACATTTCCCTATAAGCAAAGACTATTTTTCCTATGGGATCCGTATATATTACTGATTATAAACGAGAAAATAAATATAAAATACACAAAAAATATATATTACATCAAATAATTATAGAGTAAAATGAATGGTGGATAACAATGGAATACAGGACGCGCATTTCGTTTCATTTTGGACTTGTCAATTAGATGTATTTATGATGTCCTAGAATAATGTTCACTCTAAAAACTCAAACCGAATACTGTTTGGATTAATCACTTAGTGAACATCAATGTGATGGTAACTGAAGCGAACCGTATTGAATTCAACTTAATACAACAGAGTGAACATCAACTCTGAGATGCAGGTACATCCAGTTGACAAGTCCTAAATAGGACAAAGTGTCACGTAGCCTGGATTCCACTGCTATCCATTATCATGCTTGCGAATGAAGGCTATTTCAAGGCACATATATGTCAATAAGAGGGAAACACTGATCAATTCCAATATCTTAACACATCAATTGGAAGATTCAAATAAACACAACAATACCAAGTAATGATAAATAATGATAGAAAATAATTTACCTTTCTAGAAATTGCTACATCAATTCCAAAATCTTGTATACGAGTAGCCATTATGATGATGAGGAAGAGGAGGATTAATGATGATCAATGATAATGATAGAAGAAAGTAACTTGAAAAGTGAAATTCTAACACAAGATCAAATAGTTAAACAATTAAAACTTGATTAAAATGAATGATCCTATACATTTGTCGTTGAGACTAATACATACAGACATACATACATACAGACGTATACACACACACACTACACATAGAAGCACATATTTTAATGTAGGGAACAATAATATCCTATAATTGATTATTACAATACACTTTTTAGATTGGTGATCTAGACATGTTCAACAACTACATTACAATAATTTGATACACAGTAGAAAAATGTGCACTATAGTGAAATTACACCAATAGTAATTGTAAGAATTTGAATTACATCGTCCTCCCTCCCCCCCCTCCGCTCTGGGGGTGCCATTTTTTCATACACAAAAATGAATGAATACATACACAACTGAGATGACACCTCCTTATAAAATCGCATACATACACGCATACATGATTACTGGTTAGAGGCCTTTTTTTATAGCAAAATTGTTTTCTACAAGATGAAATTGCTGACCTTATGCCCACCCCACCACATTTTTTTAGATGGATTTAAGACCGGCAATAGTTCTAGAAGAACTACAGGCAGAGTTCTATACATAATTAGCTTAGATATGATTACTAAAAATAAATCTTTTCCTTTAATTAGATTTGTGTCCATTTAAAGATGTCTTATGGTGCTACATATATATATATATGTGTGTGTGTGCATGTGTGCCAAATATTAACCAATCATATAAAAGTCTACTGGTTATTTTTTTTAATTAACCAATCAAATTATCAGATTGAAATAAAACAATGAAATAAATTCTCAGACTGGAATAATCAATAATATCCTATTACTTGAAATGACTTATTTCTGTCCACTACATGACCAACATCGATCAAGTGTGATAGAACCGAACTGCGTATTGTCTTGACGTTATCTTTTCCTAACCAGAAAGAGAGGTGTTCACTAACTCTTTGATTCAGTTGCTTGATTTCTATTGTCGTTATGTTGCTGACACTTTCATCATTGCCAATCAGAACATTAGAAAAGAACAACTACTAGAACTATTTTAATAACAAACATCCTACAATTAAATTTACATCTGAAGAAGAAATAGATAATAAACTACATTTCCTTGACGTTTTGTTAAATAGAAAAGAAAATGGTTCTATCAGCAGAGGTGTATATAGAGAAAGTTCTTCTTCAAGTCAATACACACATTTTTTTTAAGCTTTGTGCCTCTTCATGATAAGAGAAACTTAGTCAAATATCTTGCAAATAGATATGTTCTGTTGACACAATTGATAAGGAATTAGAACACCTTTATAATATGTTGATTGAATTAGGTTATCCATAGGGTTTCCTGAAGAAACACTTATGTGTAACAAGTAAGAAAATAGCGACATCAATGGCTAGTGAGAAACCTCTTTCCTTGAAGCTACAATTCAATGGTGATGTAACTAGTGATGTAACCGATATCAATTCCTGAACTGTTACCATTTAATTAGTGATCACTCAATATGTTATCGTCGGGATAGATCAAGAATTAAGAAAAGCAAACTTATTGAAATACTTTATACTGATAATTCTATATTCTACCATAAACTATAATATTGAATAAAGTCATTAATAATAATAGTAATAATAATAGATTAGTACTATAAAGTCTGGTCCACCAGGGTACTTGGTACCTGTGTAGTTGAGCCACAGGATTGAGCTGTACTATTCAGATTGTAGCATTAAAGCCTATACGGTGTCTGGTTCTCCTGTGAAATGGGATTGAGCTGTACTGCTCGGATTATAAAATTTAAGTATGGGCGGTGTTTGGCTCTCCTGTTAAACAGGATTGAGCTGTACTGTTTGGGTTGTCACGTGAAAGTTCGGATGGTGTCCGGTTCTCTTGAAAACCAATCTAAAATTACTCTGGCCCAAAAGGGTATATTATATAACTGTGTGAACTATAAAGTCTACATTCTACTCAAAAATAATGATGAGCAGTATGAAAAAACAAACAAACAAACAAATAAATAAACAAGTATTGATTTAATATTACGTAATAATCAATAATTGTTTATCCATTAAAACGATTCATTAAAACAAAAGTACTTTCTTAAAAGTTATACCCTTAAAATTAGTTCACTCTAAATGAAATTTTCTTTAATTTTTACAGTTTAGTACCAAAAATGTGTTTGTATGATTGAGAATTACTATTAAAACTACACACACACACACATACAAACATAAACAGACGAACAAACAAACAAATTCTTCCATGATTTTATTTCTAAAATCTAGAACTGACCAAAACTATGCCTTGGATACTTACTATGGATACCTAAAAACTTCATGTGTACAAGTTTACGCACACACGCACACGCGCGCGTCTCTCTGTGTGTGTACACACACACACATACACACAATTCAAAAATATGTAATACCAGAATAATAACAGGGAATTTTTTATAAATGGATAAATAGTTTACTGAAACTGTGTCCTGTTTAATATGTATTATATTTACTGTTTTTTACCTTGGTGACTATTTAACATCTTCTATTATCCATAAACTGTGTTTTCAAAAACCAAAAAAAATTTTTTTTGGAAAATAAAGGAAAAAACTGAAATCAAATGATTTGTTTTTTTTTGCTCTTTCCCTCTCCACCCCCCTCTCTCTATCTCGTTATGTAATCTTTGATTGAAAGTAGATTATCTTAAATAGTAAATTGTTTTTATTTTCTTTTTGAAGAAAATAAGGAGGAGGTGTAGGGAGAAGGGGGGGAGCGATGTAATAAATGATAATTGATAAACTAAATTGAATTAGGCTACTTATTATTTTTTTATTTATTTAAAAAATGGTATTCTGTGATAAACAATTTGTTTCAGAAGGGGTTTGTGGAGATTTTTTAGAAATTTCACAGATTGAAATCATGAGTCAATTGAAGTTAGACCACCATGGAAAACCTAAAAGTACTGGACGGCCGTTACGTCCTAGTATGGGACTCCTCAGCAGTGCGCACCCACGATCCCACACCCGGTGAGATTTAAACCCAGAACATATCAGTCTCACGCGCTAAGCGCTTAGCCGACTAGACCACTGAGCTGGCCGGCTTCCAACGATGTTAATGTCTAACTTCAACCAATCCACGAAGTTGCGCCACCATACACGATTGTCCTCAGTGAGTTGATATCTCACAACAGACCTGGCTGAACTCCACTGGTAACGGCTTCTCACTAGAACTCCAGGAGTATCTCCTGAAGTCAGTCACTATTTTATATAAGAAATAGAATACAATGTAGTTGTATTATATAAATAATGTAAGGAAACTATGTTTCATACTTATTTGTATCATGTTTTATGTATATTAAGTAACCAAAATGTTTATTTATTTACCTGTTTATTATTATTATTGCAAGTATATTGCGAAGGGGGCAAGGGAGAGGGGAGGAGATTCGTGAAATGTAATTCTTTTATGCGTAAATCAGAGTAAAGAAGAAAAAGACAACACGAATCATCTGAAAGATCCGTAAACAGGGGGGGGGGAATAAAATATTCCCAAAGTTGAACCAAGTTAGAATTACATGATTTTTAAGGATGACAGCTGCAATCAATTTCTAGATTGTTCTTATACAATAAGAAAATAAGATTGCAATATGTAAACAGATTTAATATAATTAATAAATCTACTAATTTTGTGGATTTGTTGAAGTTAGACATGAACAACGTTAAATACCGACCGGCTCAGTGGTTTAAACGTTAGGCATTCATGCGCAAGATTGATAGGTCCTGGGTTTCAATCCGGAATGTGAGATCGTGGATATCCATTGCTGAGCAATTCCATACTAGAATGAAACGACCGTCCAGTACTTCCAGGTTTCTCATGAATTCAACTATTAAATCTATTCATAACTCCTACAGGTTACTCCGCTTATAGATTGGAAATCATTAAAAGCACCCAAAACAGATTTTAAGAGTTCATATGTTATTAATAATTAGGGTTAGGTATTATGCATAAGGAACAAAGGTTTAGGGTTGAGATATTAATCAACAATTCATATGTAGCTGTAGCTACATGCATGAATGCATAAATGAATTTTGCTTAAAAATACAAAAGATGCTATCTGATTAGTTCATTCATAAAATGTAATGTCACAAGGTTGAGGTATGTTCCAGAATACTGTTCATGATCAACATCTAATGATAGTATCGATTACCCTGTAATATACAATCTAAAAAGACAGAATTAAGCATTTCATACACTTAACACTATTATTTTTTATTCAATGGTAACAAATGATGAATTTTCTACGATCATCTCGTCATATATGAGATTTGAACTCTGAGCATGAATCGAAAAGCTACATCCTCGATCCTGATTGGCTCATTCCTAAAGTATATAGTTCCCAAAAATCATTGTAAATGAGGTGAGAATTTCAATAATAACAAAATAATACGATAGGATCAAACATCAGGTTGTGGGGCCCTTTATTTTTGTCGTCGTCTTAGATCGAACAATGTTGTTGAAAGGGCTCTCCACTTTAGTGGCCCGACATCTGACACCAAGGAGATTGTAATGATGATTGTTGTTGAAATATATATACCGCCTATTCTCGTCTATAATCATCGACTTAAATCGCGTTAGTCAATAACGGATTTAGATAAGTTGAATAACGAGAATGGACTTTTGAATACATATAATTTTGTATATAAAGTGAATGGAATAGAGAGAAGAAAAATGACGCAGAGTGGAGATGGAGGGTAAGCCAACCCCCATTTAAGCAAGCGTTAATCAATACTTATAGTTACACAAAAGTAAGTTACAGACATGTGATGAGTAATGGGAGAAGAAGTGTACACACACCAACGCGCTCACAGAAAAACAGTCAAGATTGATAAGCGAATAAATAATAATGTCAGAATGTGACTCAAGTAGAATGAATAGAATGGGCTGTCCGAAAGCTAGAATAAGGTATATGGACTTAACATAATAACCGACACTACAGGGTTACGTATTCTCAATCTAAATATGCATTAAGGAGGTAATCTTTAAAACAGCACATAAAATCTCTAACTGATTGGCCATGATTATCATCTAGATCTTTAATCCAATAGTCAGTACCGATAAATTTAACTTATGGGTACAATTCAACCACTTTATGGACTAATAACTTATCTTGGTTTAGCTAGTGCTAACTTTGCTCCAA